GAACGTGGCAGGCTCGTCTAATTCCCGGGGCGCTGGAGATGGCGGGCTCTCAATCTTGAGCTCTACCGACCTCGGGAGATATCATCACCGCCAGCCATGCAGTCAGCGCCGTGGTTCGGATTCCGCGTACTCGCGCAACAGCCATGCCATGCCATGCCATGCTCAAGAGGTGAGACAAACGGGCGTTGTACCTGCATATGTGGGGATGTATCCAGCATCTCTCGCAGTCATAAGGCTTGCATTGGGGCGAACCAGTGGCGAGTCGCCGTGCTGGATTTCCTGTTAATCAGCAGCAACCCCTGAAGAAACTCGCATCCTTCATGACGGCCAGGCCAGTTCTCCGCTGTGTTGGCGCTCTCTTGCAGAAGGCGGTCCTTGAATTCTTGATGAGGCTAACAGCATGGCTAGTGTCGCCAGGTGGTGTGTGCTCATCTGCACGCCGTGGACGGCTTGCTCCCCCGATTTGGATCTTGAGTCCGGCCGGACATCCACGCCTTTCCGAATGCCCCCCTGTATGCCATGCCGCCTAGGTCCAAGTTGCTCTGCTACCCACGGCACTAAGACTCGCCTCGGCGTCCGATCGAGGTGCCGTATGAGGTAGACTAATCAATCTTATACACGGATGGGGACGAGCCAGCGCATCATGTGTGCACTTCCATCAATGCCGAGGCGAGGCATTTCCCATTGGATTCGGATGAACAAAGGCTGTTGTTTAATGCGTTACAAAATCGACGAGGCCCGCACGAGTTCCCTTGGTTGACCGACCCAACACAAACAGAGACAGACGGCTATCAGCCCAATGAAGCACTTGCTTGGCGTCATGGTTTCTAGAAGCGGATCAGTTGCTATGTGCGAGCCTTGGAATGCCGGGCACCCTGCCCTTTTCGACTCCCTGTCCGGGTGCCGTCCTCCACTTTACCCCAGGTGCCCAATCCGTACCCGGCTTGGATGGGCTTGGCCGTCGAACCATTCTCACGCTGTGACCTGGTGAGCCTGAAGCCTCTAGAACCTGTCTTTTTTTCTCACTGTGAGCCGATGCTCGCAAGCACCATGAGTGGTTCACCTAAAACTGAAACCAGCCGCGTCGTCGAATACGGTTCAAGATCTGAGATCATTCACACAACGCCCGCCATCACTTGGTGATGACGAGAAGCTTACTCTACGAGGTGGATTTGACCTGCTCACACTAGGTTATGGGTCGTAGTGTTTGAGCAGGCTGAAGTCTCAACTAGGGGAAGCAGCTCCGATGGCGGCCGAGATGTCTGCGCCCTCAACTCTGCGCTTTCTTTGGTGTTTTGAAGAACGGACGGCTTGAGAAGCGAGTCCGGACAAGCGCCTAAGTGCCTGCCAGAAGCACCCACTTGGTCTCTCGTCTCTTTGTGCAATGCAACTCTCGTCACCAAGAAGCGCCAATACGACACGATAGGCGCCGCTGATCGACGACGCCTCAAGCCTTCATCTCGCACTCTGCGGCTCACTCGGCGATCGCCTGGGGCTCATCCTTCGACAAGGTTGCCGGTTCGGACTCGGATACCGTGCTCGGATCCAGGCTTTCTTCAGTTTAGAGTTGAGAGCCGGATTCATAGATCACGGGTAGCTTGAGAGGTCTACTATTTATCACGGCTATGATATTAACATGATCGGTCTTGCCGACATGGGTTCCTACCATGGGTCCCAGGCAAACTGCCTTCTAGGGCACTATCGACTCCATCGTCAATATGTCACTTGGCAACTGACGCACCAAGCTTGCCCTAGAGAGTAAACCGACTCCAAAACTGTCTCGGTTCGTACACTGTGGCCTCATGCTCCACCCCGAGGTGGAGGTTTTCCGAACCTTCCTCAGTTCAAGACCCAGGTACCGCTGCCAGGATCATGTATCCAGGACGGCACTTGAGGTAGGATTACTATCTCCGGTATTCCTCACTACAAGCGAACGATTCCTAGGTCGCAAGGTATAGCTTTCCAGCGTTCCAACGCATAGAAATGAGTCGTGTCAAGATATATTCAAACCCAGTCGATCGGTTTTTTGGTCGGGCCTTTGCCTCTTTTTACTTCTAGCTTCCTCCGATAGCTACAAGCTCCGACAGAACAAGTAATCGGCGGCTCTTCTCTGCCTCGGCCACATGGTTTGTCCCTGCCTGATTCCAGGCCCTCGAGCCGAAGATCCAACTGATCGTCAAGGTACGCTCGCCAACCGCGATCGAAGGGTTTCAGGCCGATCATAGACTTGCATGGCCTGTAGGGCTTAGGCATCCCTGTGCCCCGGCAGCTCAAGCAAGACCTGAGGTGGTGGCTCCCGTGAGAGAATGGAGCTGTGGGTTCATCCATGGCCCTCGGGGCCAACTGGCTCAAGTGCAAAGGATGGATGGTCAGCCAGCGGAGAAGCCCCTGGCTTACCCAGAACTCAACAGTGGTTCACTCACATCGACCTCTCCGAGTCCCTTGCTTACCGCTCCGACTTGATACCCGCTAGCAGATCGATTGCGGTTGCGTGCCTCGGGTTGCCCATTGCTCAGGCGCTTGCGTTGACTATGTGCCTTCTTCTCGGTATGTACAGTCTCCTTACTATCACATACCCACTCGGCCGCCCCTTGGATCTCCTTCATTTTGCTGTCGGTCCTTGGTGAGGTCGCAGATACTGACTACTCAAAGTTTGCTTGGAAAAACGGGTCTGGATAGCCTCGACCTGATACACCGTGAGTATCAACTCGTCAAACATGATCACCACGGGTCGTTTCTTGTGCAGCTGAACACGCAATCAAGCATCTTGGGTGTGTTTGGTTTCCCCCTAGACGTTTCGCCGAGCCTCCGTGATGGAGATGATGCGTCTCTGCGAGTTTCCCATGTGTGAGCCTGCAGGCCGGCCCTCCCGCGGTGCAGATTAGCACGCTTCTGGCCTCAAGGGGGACTGAGTTGTGGCTAAACAGCAGGGCTACACAGTGGGCAGTGGAGATAACCCATTGCCGCGACCGCCTGCGGCAAACAAACCAGTCCTGCACACGCGGTAGGTGTTACAGTACGGCTTGGCTTGGCTGGGCTGGTGCCCCTGTCGAGGCGAGTGCAAAGGTCCTCTCATCATCCCAACTTGCTAACCCTTGGAGAGCATGGTGTTGTCTTGTTCGTCCCGTCTTCTCATCTCCTCTGCATACCGCCACCAGGACTTTACCCGCACCCCCTATTCCCTGCCTCGGGATCGAATCATCGTCGACTTGACCCTCAAGAGGTTGCCACGTCTGGAGGTCCATCCAGACACCTGGAGATCCCCTCCATGGGCGGGTCAATCCCCCCCCTCACTTGCTTTCTGCCGGGAGCGTGGTGTGCAACCTTTCTCGTGCGCCACTTGCGAGTTGTCGGCATTCTCGCAGGCCATGTCTTCTTGGCTCTCACTTGACGCCCTCAGTTGAGCAATCTCCGCAGCAGCGTCTTGAGTAGGTGTGGCTGCCACGCGGATCCAGTCTTGTGGCCTTGCCTTGGACAAGAAATTTTGCCCAGAGATGCATACCTTGTGCCCCATTCAACGTCCTTCATCTATGAACAGCGACACTAGGTGCCTCATGTCTAGACATGTCGCCCCTGTGCTATTATCTCACGATGTCTTGTCTCAAAAGGTGTTATTCTCAATGCTATCTATTCTCTCAGGCTCGTCATCAGCCAACATGGAAACCACATGTGTCTCGTGCTTTGGGCAATCTGACCAGAACTACCTACCCAGTCTGGATACCTTGCTCGACCGTTATGCATCTCACATCCACATCATTCACCCCACACGATGCCTATGAGGAGGCGAGTGGACAAGGAGCCACAGCAAGGGTGAGCAGAGAGGCACACACAAACGCACACGCACACGCACACGTACACACCCCAAGCGCCCTGAACCTCACACAGCCTCTAAACCCTTCTCACGCCGTACCCAGCCAGAGCACAGGAGGCACTGGCTGCCGGTGAGCATGCATGAGGCCTTATGGCGTTGTCCACTGACGCTGATATCTTGCTTTTTGGTGAGTAAGTGATGACATGCAAAACACCAAGAGACAGACACGCATATCTGGCCAAGGCAAAGGCATCTACCACATCGACATCGCCTAGGTACGACGACATGGGACGAGATTCAAGCGGGCGGGCGGTGTGAGGCTCTAGATGTCTTCAAATTCTATCATACGCTGCGTCTGCACGATGCTTGCTAGCAGTAACCAAGTGCCTATAATATTCAACTGACATATATGTCCCATTCCCATTCCCAGCTCACCGGATCTCGTATACACCCATGATCTTCATATCCATCGCCAGCCCTGCAAGGGCCAGCCTATACATAGGCAGGTACATACGTACACACTCCGGAGCAAGAGCACAGAGCAGCAGATCCCCGTGGGACCGAGTCCTTCTTACATGCTCTTGACCGTAGTGGTACACAGGTAGTGCAGTATCGGTAGCGCTAGGTCATCCCGCGCTGCCCTTGTCTTGTCAGGTTGTAGTAAACCCACTCGAGTGGCCCAGGGCCCATGGGTCTTTTGTCTGCCGGATCTGTCCCCAGCAGGCAAGGCCTCTCTTGTCTTGTTCGCACAAAGTTTGATTTGCTGGCCTGTTCATTTCGGGGGTCGAGATGGACCCGCCATAGGCCTAAAATATCCAAAAGCCTCGAGTCTTTGTCCAGGGGCAGACTGTGCAAGGAGACGCCGAGCGGCCTCGATTGACGTGGGCGCTTGCTTGGCAAGCGGCACAGTTGGTGCGGTTGTACAGGGCGTGCTGCTTCCCTGCTCTCCGTTCACCGGCCTGGCCGGTAGTCCTGGCGGATATCTAGGTTTTTCCCCTAAACCCGGCCTTCTTCGGACCTCCAGCCTATTCAGTCATCGGTCCTTTTCCCCAAGAAAGGACCGACGTCGAATCAGGAAAGTCATTCTTTCGAGTCGAACTGATATCTGATCTCCTTTCTGGAGTATCATGTGCGATAGCATGTTGTTGCCGTTAGAGTTGACGGTCTATCCGAGTCGACTGCTCCAGACTCAGTATCGGTGGCCACCGCTTGCCAACCGCACGAAGCTGTACGGCACGTTCTGTCCAACAAGTAACCGTAAACTTTCTACTGTCGTGAAAGCAGCAACGTCATCTGCCCCGTAGGCAGCAAATCCATTCTTGTCGGCGATCAGGCTTGGATCCGAACTCCTCCGTGCTGCTCCATCGGCCAAGTCGAGGAAGACCTTCTTCGTGTTCGTCGTCCCTCTCGATCCGGCTGCTCCAAACGCTCGTAGCAACATGCCAACCAGATGACTCTTCTCCCAGCCAAGTGCCGACACAATAACAAACGGAGCGCTGTCATCACCCACTGACCGGGCACGCTGAAGGCTCTCGAGGCTGATGAACGGTTCGATCGGAGGCGCATTTCGAGCGAGAGCAGTAGGCGTGCGGAAGCCTATCGTATAAATCTTGGAAATCCTGAGGGCCCTCATGGCAAAGAATACCGGGGCAGCATCATCGGATGACGAGGCCATCACCACAGCTGAGCGCCCAAAGTAGGCAGAGGGAGCCAAGTCGCGTGTAAGTGTACTGAGTATTCCTTTCCATCCCGCGTTGTCAAAGACAAGAGAGGCCGTCGGTGCCAAACCTGACTGGCTGCTGGAATCGAGTGAGTCGGTCTGCCGTTGACGAGGACTGGACGGCATTGATCCGGGTGATGACGACCTTGACGAGGAGCCAGATTGCACCACAATGGTGTCAACCACGCCAATGGCGCGAGCGGCTTCAGTCAGGATTGGGCCGTTGCCTCCATTCAATGCTCCGAAAAAGGGGCCGTTCTTTATCAATGTGTGATGTGGTAGCCCTGGGTTGAGGTATGCGCCCCCGAAATGCTTCTGGTTGCACCAAGCTTCCATGCTTCCAGGGTTATTGGGGTGCCTCTCGACAACGGCAAAATGGTGAGGAAGGCCTAGTTCGTTGATACATTTTTCGTAGAATGGCGCCTTGGGGGTGGCGCATCCAGAGGTTGTGCTGTTGATTCCATAGATGTGCTTTCTTGGTAGCTGGCCCAGCAGAGACAGGGCTGCGTTGATCTCAGCTGCGCTCAACTGACCGGGAGCAGCTATTATGGGAAGAAGCGGGTGTGTGATGGGCGTAAAGACGGGGTTCAATGTTCTCGAGAACTGTCCGGTCTCGCCCATGTTGACTGCAGAAAAGGGAGGAGCGTCGGGGTACTCGGCGCGCATCTTGGAACGGAAATACTCCAGCTCGAAGTTTTCGTTATGCTCGTTAATAATGGCAATCATCTTGATAATATCCGCGTACTGCCTTGACCTCTCAAACACCTCCTGGGCATACTTGGATGGCCATCGAAAGGTTCCGGAAAAGTCATGAAAGGCCGACATGATGCGCGAGTTGCCCCGGCGCTCATATAGATTCTTTCGAATTTCCTCGGGCAACCACAACTCTACGTCGATGTATTCCACGCCCCATTGGATGGCACGATAGAGGTATTCGTAGTAGATCTCGGGTTTGTCCATTGGAAACCTCCCATTCTCCCTTGTGCATCGGGTCGTGAAAATGATAGGGAGCTCTGTCCGCTGGCGCAGAAGCATTACCTGCTCGCCAACATAACTGAGACTGGGCACTTCTGAGAAACTGCCGTCTCCGGTTGGTTCTCTTAGTAGATCAACCCGAATCTCGACGGCATCTGCGCCAACAGTCAAGATGTCGATGTTTGGCAGAGCAGCGTGAACGTCTGGGAATGTGGTCGAGATAAAGTAAGTCCTCGGCTTCGCCATGAGCGCTTCGTGGTGATTGATCTGGCCGAGCGTAAAAGAAATAAACCTCGCAAGGTCGCGGCGGAAGAAGGGCGATTCGGTATAGAGAAACTCATAGTCGCAACTGGCGGAAAGATGGAGATCCGGCGGCATCCCTAGGTTCACACAGTGAGCGTTGATGGCAACGACAAGCTCCTGGTTGCGCGCAGCGACATCTCCTTTCGCCTCGCCTGCCGCAACGCCCACGACAAACCCACGATCCTCTGCTGAAACGTGCTCGAACCCATCTCTTATCCTGCAAGGCGTTCCCAAGACTTCTGCGAAAACCGACACAATGTGATCCTGTCCGGGTCCAAAGACGATGGCGACAATCCTGTTGTCTCCCCTTGCCGGCGTACTCCCAAATGTACTCTCGTTGATCATGACTGGGCTTTGATTCGGTCGGTCGAGGTCCATGGCGACGGGTTCTGAACCATTCAATGTGACGGATGGTGTCGGCCCGAGGGGCGGTTCAGGCATTAACGGTTGGACGGCGGCCATTTTTGTCGTTCCTTCCCAGTGCGACAGACTAGGTAGTTCCACCTCTTTAACTGTAAATCGCCGTAGCTTATCCAAATGGGGTCCGAAGGTTCCCAATATCCTTCACCAAACCAAGTCGCATCACCACCAATCGCAAGCGCTTCCAATGCGCAGGAGAAATTCACGGAAACTCGTCAGGCTAAGTACGGTTCGGTCGTATATGGTGAATGCAATATCGCTTTTTTTTTTTTCGGTATCCGGCGCAAAAAGTTCAGTTCGGCTCGAGGCGTGCAGCGGTTTCGGGTCGGAAAAGCACCAAAGAGTTCGAAAGACGAAGTCGCAGTAGAAGAGCCGCAACGGTTTTCTGGAGCGCGGGCTAGAGTTAGAATGGCTGTCAAATTAAGGTGACGAGATCTCGTGCAGTGGATGCAGTATGCGTTCGCAGGTTGAAGGCGGACCCAGTGGGGACGATGTCGGAATATGGGGTAAGGTGAGGTTTGAGAGAAGTAGACGAAGGACCAGTTTAAGAGAGAGCGAAGGAGATTGAGTAGTCTCTCGAAAACGGAGGAAAGGGGGTATAGTATGCATAAGAGGGCGCCTGGTTAGGTCGGTACCTTTTGGGCTATGAATTCGCAAGACGGACGGCACAGCAAGTAAAAAGAGTCGAGCTGAAGTGGGCGAGTCGTGGGTACTGTACGGTACGGTAGAGCAGGCGAAGCAATGCAGAAGACGAGATGTCCTGCGGCGAGACTTGGGTCGCTAAAGTGCCAAGCGAGGAATATTTGACCGATGGGATGTTTGAGCCGGCTCAGATAGGGCACGGCCGGGGCGAAACAAGGGACAAGATCCCTGACAGAGACTGATGGAGCTGATGGAGCTGACGAGCTGGGACCCGGGGCGACCTCGACAGGATCAACGAGAGTGGCTGCGACCGGGATGTGGGCGAAACTCGAGCCCTGCTGTTGGTGGAAGGGAGACGACCAAGACAGGCGGCGGGGGCGTAGTAATTGTTCCACCACAGGGCGATTTACGCTGAGGCGAACGATGCAGACCCCGACGGCATCAACCGCAGACCTGGGACTTAGTTGCTTGACTTGGACCTTGAGGATATGAGACATATATCACGATCTCCAGAGAGGAATAGAGGCCGAGATGGGTACCCGTCGTATATGCCGTGGAGAAGGTCGCAGCATGTACTGTATGGAGCGCGTTTAGATGAAAGTCAGAAGTGCTTGTCCAAACTCAAATAAAGGTTGTCACTGTTGATCTCTGATCTGTGCGTTGGAAAAGGTTGGGTCAGTCCCTGTTACCATCCATTCCTTCCATGAGTGCGTGTGCAAGCATTAATGGACGGCAAGGGCAAGGCAAGTAAGTACCGAAGCTGATCAACCATCCAATACATTCGCTGTGGCCGGTTGAGCTCCTCCGTACATACGTATGCATCGGGTATGGGAGGAACCACCACCGAGACTATCTTTGTGGGGGTATTGGTTCTGGTCGGAATTGGGGGTTGCGTAAGGTGATGATCCCTCTCAGTTCATCTATTGCCGATAAGCCATCGGAAAAGCTGGCCGCCCCGTCGTCTCGAGACCCCATCGTGAAGCGTGGAATGCATCGAGAATTTGCCATTTCGCCTCCACAGCCTGCCAGCCCAGCCCAGGTCTTGGAACACCTGCACCTGCTCCCGCAACGTCGCACTTGTAACCGACCCCAGAGCGCGGCCGACCCATGACCTAAAAGGCAACACTAACGATTCATCTGCAGTGGACGGACTTTCTTGGGGTCCAAGTCAAGGGACAGCATGAGAAAGCCTCCTTCTCTTCTGATGGATGATACATATCTACCTACCTACTACGTACAGTACAGACGATGCATCCCTCCCTTCGGCCATTTCATTCACTCCACACAGAGTGGAGGGAAAACGCCACGGGATGGCAGGTTTGACGAGGGTGGGGGGGGGGGTTGTGAGGGCGATGGACTTGAGATTCTCCACGGCCCTTGATAGCTGGACTTTGGGGGTTGTCGATTATCCACCAATCGCGCGACTGACAGTCCCCGCAGATTCTTTCAATGCTTTAAATTCGGTTCGCGGTTGTTTCGAGTACCCCTTGTCCCTTGGGCAATTGGGGGACCCTTGTACTTGTTTCAAGGCCATGCGACATCACAGCTACAGGACGACATCGCCATCGTCCAGGAAGAGGAAGGACAGGTTGCATCCATTTCGAGGTGCATTTTCTATCTCAGGGGTACAACTCTCAGGCCTTGCTTTTGACGAGATTTGGCCAGGTTTCTATCCAAGGAGCCCGAATTACAAAGCTACCAAATGACACAACAAGAGCCCACTCGACACAAACTGGCGTGACTGACTATCCATGGACCCATCTCGTACTTGGTTCGACCAACTCGCACCTCGCTCATTGGACTCGAGTTGGGAGCATACTCGGCTTGCCATTTGTTTCGGTAGCAGACGGCCGGCAACAGACGGACGGATCAAAATTGCTGTGGATTCCGGTGCTACTCTCTGCCATTGTTCATGACTACGGAGGGTCCAGCAGGGCCTTGAAGCCTCTAGGGAGCATCGCGGCATCAACCATGGCGAGAGAGACGTTACGTATGTCTGCACGCACGCAATCTCCGCAACCTGTCACGTCCCCAAAGTTTGTTTGATCTCCATCTTACATACCACCGACTCTGCCTTGCCATCGGTTGCTACTATCGCGATAACCATGTTTCACCCAACCTGAGGCATGAACCTGGATTATGGTGATGGACAGGCACATTTGCTGTTCTGGTCCAGTCATTGCACCCTCTTGTCATATCATGCCATGCTATTTCTTTCTTAAGACCCTCAATGGTCATTCTCTTACCGAGATTTTGATCCAAGCTCTGGCCTAAAAGTGGCCGGTGCATACAATTAATCCCGCGGTGTTTTCATATAAACACATGTCACACTCTATCTCTGAAGCATGCACCCATCGGATTCTCAGTGTTCCGGCCATAAGTTACAGATTTATTACGAGGCATGAGCGAATAGAATGCGTTTCATGATTCGGCAAGGTCTCCGACCCCGGACTTCATCCCAGCTGGCACCGGGATTGCGGCGCCGCTCCCTAGCCTCACGGGCCGCGGCTCTGTTATCCCACGAATGAGGCCTCGTCCTGACAAGGGCCTTGGCTCTAGAAACGATCCAGTGGATCGAGAACTCAAGGCGCAGGTTTTGCATAAGCTTTCGTTAACGAGTTAGGCTCCGTCGCTTCGTCTTGACCTTTTCACACAATCTCGCCATCAACCCGAAGGGCGCTTTTCCATCCAATAGAGGACAACCAAGCCCGCAGTCACAGTCGAGACTGATCCTATTCAGGGCGTTGAGGTACCGACAGGTTGGTCAGCAGCATGGTTTCGCCGAAGCAACAGTTTGACTCTTGGAGTTTTTCCACCTTTAGGAAGTTTCACGCATATCACTTCGTATCATCATCATGAATGTTGATCACGATGGGTGAAGGAATCTGTTCTACTTCCATATTCAACTCGTGGAAAGGACAGGATGCTATCAGTCAACCAACACGCGGTCCCGCAGGTACGATCCAACTTGGCCAACTCGAGACTTGGCTCATTTCTGAGACCAGATGCCAATCATGTTTTCTTCCGTGTCAATGAGCCGGGCGAAATATCCCATCTCTCCTCCGATGGCCGTCTTGGGACTTGGGGCATGTCAGTCGGGTCGGGGTATCTCTCGGGCTTGGGCTCCGGCGCCAGCATGACAGGATACTTACAGGGCCGTCTTGCCGCCGGCTGAGGCGACCTTCTTGAGTGTCTCTTCGCAGTCCACGACGCAGAGAGTTGGCATCAGAGGCAACGCAGCCGGGCGTTCAGCGATATTGTTGACGACATGATAGGGTTCATCAAGCTCGAGAAAGGCCCCGTGCAGAGTCTTGCCCTTGTTGAAGAAGTGCATGCTCTTGACGCAGTCGCCAACGGCCTTTGCCGGCTCATCCATGACCTCCCAGCCAAAAATTTCGGTGTAGAACTTCTTGGCACGGGCGAAGTCTCGGACGGGTACTTCAAGCCAGCAAATCTGGCCGAGGGCTTCCTAGAGTGGTCTTAGTAGAGACCCTTGAGGGGTGATTTGAAGATACGGCACCTGGACACGGCTCTCATCCATGGTTGATGTCGGTGCGACTGTTCAAGGAGGTGAGTCTGTTTGTTCTTGATGACTTGACTATGGCGTCTTGAGCAATGGCAACTCTCTCGTCTCAAGCAATGTCCTACCCCGCCGATTTATAGTCGACAGTTCGCACTATTAACGCCTCCATCCTTTGTTCCAATATCAACTCTCATCACAGTCCGTTTCTCAACGGATTGACCAGACCCCGGTTTGAGGCGTTGCTGCCTGGATATGGCTTGCAATTGAGCCAATGGTGCTGTGTGCGACTGATCCAGGGGCACATGACTTCGCGTGCCGGTCGCGCACGAAGCCTGAGATGGAACGCGCCACGCCGCGATGATTAGTGAACTACCGACGCCGCTGCGGGGTGGCTACAGGTCTGGGCTTCAACGATCGACGCCATGGTGCCGTAAGACGGTTGAATAGATTGAAGTGCAAACAAGCCTTTGGGTGAAACAACTTCCAGCCCCGTGTTTTGTTGAGCTGCGACGTTCGCATCCTTGTCGTGATCTCCATCACGGCGAGTGGGTAAAGAGAGGTGAAGGAGCGTGCGCAGATGCATTCGCCAAGCGGTAATGACCAATATCGAGGGGAAAGCAGATTGATATTCATGGGAAAACGTACACATGATCATCCTTGGCAAAGATAAACTCAATTCGGCCTCATATGTCACTGAAAGAACATGACAACTCAAACTTCAGATGTCATCTGTAACCTATAGGGTAGGACTCAACTTCTCCAACGTCAGCCAATGGATTTACACTAGTCCTTTCAGAAGTACTGAAAACAGTACCTAGGAACGTCCTTATTGGTAAACGGGTACCTCATCTCTGATGTGGGTATTTGTTGACTCGACTGGCCATTTCTCTTTGTCTTGCTATGCTGATATCAATATCATGAATTTGGCCCATTTTTGTCTGGTCAATGGGTTCATGGTGCTCGAGGCAAGTGCAAGCGAGTCAAGGGAGCTCGAACAAAGAAAGAAGCTCTCGCCCCACCAGCGCCACTTCTGACCAATGAAACGCGCCAGATCTCGTTCCTTCCCCCGGAACCACGCGCGTCATACCACTTGCGTCGCCCGTTGCTGGGTCGTTCTTTGAGCTTTGTCGCAAACCCTCCACTCGCCGTCGCCATTTTTCGCATCTTTCATCTGCATCAACGACGACGCGCATCAAGCATCTCGAGTTTATCGACTTCATCAGACCCTGCATCTTTATACCTTTCATCAATTGGTCTAGCTACTGCTCCATCTCCTGCAAGTGCGCATTTCAATGGCCGACGCTACAGAACAGACGGCGGCGCCCGTCGTCAACGAGACACCCAAGATCATCGACGAACCCCAGAAGTCGGCCGAGGAGCCTACTAGCGCCCCAGCTGAGGCTCCCGCCAGCGATTCTGCGAAGCCCGATGATTCTGCAAAGCCTGACGACCAGGTCGAGTCCGCCACCATAACTCCTGCTGTTGGCACTCCCAATGTCGATACACCCAACACCGACTTCCTTATCGCAAACGACCAAGACCCCAACTCCAAGAAGGTCACCCTCGCCGACCTGTGCGCAAAGGGAACTGCCCTGTATGCCCACAGAAACTATGAGGAGGCTGCCGAAGTCTTCTCCAGGGCCAGCATCCTGCAGGCCGAGCTCAATGGCGAGACTGCTCCCGAGAACGCTGAAATCCTCTTCCATTATGGTCGCAGCTTGTTCAAGGTCGGACAGAGCAAGAGTGATGTTCTTGGAGGGCCCGCCGCGGCCGAAAAGCGAAAGGGGGCCGGAAGCAAAGCCAAGAAGCCCGCACAGACCGAGGCCCAGAAGGTGACGCAAGAAGGCATTGGCATCATCGCGGAGCAGAAGGACGAGGCGAAGAAGGATGAATCTTCCAAGGTCGATGCTGATGCGAAGAAGCCTCTGTTCCAGTTTACTGGCGACGAGAATTTTGATGACTCTGATGAAGAAGAGGTACGTAGTCCACCCTATAGCTGGAAAAGTGGATTGTTAGCTGACCTCATTTACAGGAAGCTGCCGAAGGCGAAGAGGAGGAGGAGGAGGATGACGACCTGGCCACTGCCTTTGAGATTCTTGACCTTGCTCGAGTGTGCTATCTAAAGAGACTGGAAAACCCAGACACTGAAGAGACTGAGACTGGCAAGGGCAAGGAGGTTGCAGAGGGCGACTCACCTACCGTGCGGCACGTCAAGGAGCGTCTTGCTGACACTCATGATGCCCTCTCTGAGATTTCTCTCGAGAATGGACGGTATGTGTAGCCCGAGAATACTTCCATCCCCGCCCTAACCATCGCGCGTATAGCTACCCGAATGCCATCGAGGACGGCCGAACTTCCCTCAAGTACAAGTTGGAACTCTATCCCGAGGAATCTGAGATCATCGCCGAGGCTCACTTCAAGCTCTCCCTGGCTCTGGAGTTTGCTTCCGTGACCGTCGCCGATGACGACGGCACCGGCGCCAAGCGCGAGGAGATGGACCAAGGCATGCGTGATGAGGCTGTCAAGGAGATGGAGCTGGCCATTAAGAGCTCTAAGCTTAAGCTTCAGAACAAGGAGGTTGAGCTTGCTACCATGGCCTCTCCCGAGGACAACGAGCTGGCGCGGAAATCCATTCAGGAAATGAAGGAAGTGATTGGCGACATGGAGCAGCGAGTAAGTCCTTACCTTTTCGTTCCCTGCGTACCTTGTGTATTCATTATACTGACCATCTGTAGCTCGTCGACCTCCGAAATGATCCCATCGACGCCGCGGGCTTGCTGGGTGCTGATGCTACTCCCCTTGGTGGCATCCTTGGTGCTGCTCTTGGCGAGTCTGCTGCCGAGACCAAGGCTCGTGTCGAGGAGGCCAAGAAGACTGCCACCGATCTCAGTGGCCTCGTCCGCAAGAAGAACAAGGAGGCTCCCGCCCCGGCTGATGCTCCAGCTGCTGCCCCAGCGCCCGCTGCTGCGCCTGAAGCTGAGTCTAACGGCAAGCGAAAGGCCGAAGAGCCCGCCGAGGAGTCCGAGGCCAAGAAGGCCAAGGTGGAAGCTTAAAACGGCCAACATCTACTGCTTTTCTTCCGGTAGGGCTCTACAAGGGGTGAAATCACGGCTGGAGTTTGGGGTATCAAGGACGGCAAGATATGTAATGGCATGGGACGGACGGGATGGGACTGCGACGCTGCCGTGGCTGATACAGGCGCGCGTGAGGGTGTACAATTACCAACAACCATTTGGTGCCTAACGAGAAAGGATTTGTGTTTATGCCCGGGTATGGATGGGAACGCAAGAAGTTGTACGATAATGCTTGTCCATTTGGACTTGATGAAGTTTATCTTGATTCAGACGAAACAAGTGAAGCATATATAACATGATAAGTGACACGATCAAGGCAACCAATATACGATGGACATTTCGATATACACCGACCAAACATAAACCGCGTTCTATTATGAATCGCTCGCAAGACATGCAACCAACCCGAAGCCCCTTCTCGCTTTTCCCCTTTTCCTACAAATCCCAGTCCAGACATGCATCGCTCTCTACAGCTTAAAGTTGCCGCTCGATACCACCTTAGGGGCCTTGGCCTTCTTACCATCCACATCCGTAATCTCTCCCTTGCGGTTGATGACCTTGACACCTCCCTTCCTCAGCTCGGCGATGGTGTCACGCTGCATCTTGGCCCTTTTGCTAACCACCTTCTTACCGTCGACACCGCCTGCCTTGCGGACGCGCTCCTTCTCGCGACGACGACGACGGGTCTTGTCCTCGCGCGTCATCTCCTGGCGTGCCACGGGCAGACCGGCCTTGGTGACGACCTCGCCCTGGGCAGCTGTCTCGGTGGTGCCGGCCTTGTAGACCTCCTGAGGTGCCATGCGGCTGCTCTCGCCCGCGACGCCCTGGGCTGTTGTGGGTTGGGCATCTTCCATGGCAACCGTAGCCACGTCGGCGACGACTGACAGGGACGGCGCGGTAGGCTTGGGCTTGTAGTGCCAGGAGCTGAGGGCGTCGAGGCGTGCGCTGACATCCTTCCAGAGGGCCTCGACCTCCTTCTCCTCACGCTGGAGCTTCTCGTCCGACTGGCTGACGTAGTTATCAGGGTCGGTGTTCTTGACGTGCTCCTCCTCGTAGATCTCGGCCAGACCCTTGGTGGCCTTGCTGTCGTCAAGCTCAATGAGGCCACGGCGTGTGCCAGCGGGGAGACCCTCAGTGTCGGGTCGGCGTTTGATGACTTCGTCAAACTCCTGGGCGAGAATACGTCTCTTGATGAGATCCTCAATGCCCTCGGTGATGTCGGGTGTGATGACGGGCACCGGCTTGCCGATGTGCTCAAAGTCGAGGTCTTCCTCGAGAAGCGAGTTCATGGGACGGTCCACGGCAGCGGCCTCACCAGAGAGGGTCCATTCTCGCTTGGCCACCGAAGCAGCCTCGAGCTTGCGGATCTCCTCAGCGAGCTTGGCTTGCCTTCGCTCGTGAGCTGAGCGTCGCGACTTGGGGTCTCCAGCCGAGACGTCAGATAGAGCATCGTCAGAGTCCTCATTCTCTGACTCGTCGTCAAACAGATCTCTCCGAACATCGGCCATGGCCCTCTCGACATCGGCATCGTCTGGCTGCTTGGGCTCAAACTTGACAGACTTTTTGGGCTTGCCACCCTTGGACTTCTTGGGGGGCGGCGCAAAGAAGTCCTTGTAGTAGACTTCGTTGGCGTTGAAGTCCATTCCTTCATCGTCCATATCGGCATCCATGTCCATGGCCTCATCCTCACTGTCACCCTCGGGTGCATCGAGAGCCATATCTCCAAATGTGGGGCCATCGTCCTCATCGTCATCCTCTTCATCTTCTGATTGCGGTTCTGCCTTCTTTGACTTTGAACCCGCCTTGGGAGGGGCCATGGGGTCGACATCCCAGTTGATGTCCTCCTCGTCGCTCACTTGGTCGGTGTAGGGATCTCCCTTTGCGTCTTGCTCCTCAAACCATTGTGTTTGTCGGTTGAAGTCATCGAGAGAGAAGAAGCCATCGTTGAGACCATCAGGATCCTCAACATACTCCTCAGCAGGTCCATCGACCTCGTCATCCTCATCCTCGTAGTCGTCTCTTGTTTCGTCAAACTCTAACTCGTCGTCATCTTCTTGGTCGTCTTCTTGACCGTCTTCCAACGCTTCCTCGTCCGATATTTGTTCTTGGTCGTCATCTTCAGATCCATCCTCGCTCTCATCCTCATCATCAGAGCCCACCTCGAACCCGTCCTCCCCAAACTCGAGTAGCTTGGAGTCATCCGCGCTGGTTCCATTGACTGTGACCTCGTCACGCTCCTGGAGCTCAGCAAGGGCTTCCTCTGAGTACTTCAAAACACCACCGATGATCCTCTTGGCCTGTTGCCATACCTGACCCGTCTCAAACCCGTCGATGTAGACCTTGCGCATCTTGAGAACATCATCTTTTCCGCCGGCGTTCCTCTTGCGTTTCCGGCTCTCCTTGAGCCTCTCCTGCTGTTCATCGCCAACCCGCCCAGCAAAGCTTTCGAGGGTGTGCTTGACAAGGTTTAGAGAGTCGGTCGGGATCGCGGCGGTGGGCTGGAGAAAGGCATGACGCTTGCCGTCGGCTAGGCTTTCGAGGAGCGCCAGGACATGGCTGTTGGCGAGTGACTCTGGGGCGGCCATGGCGGGAGGTGCGGCCGTCAAGGTGTGCGACGTTGAAGTGAGTGACGGTGACGTCTGGACGGCCATGCTCTGATGTGACTGGCTAACAGAGCTATCTTTTGTCGTTCTTCCGAGTGGCGTTTGTGTATCCAGGATCCAGGTTGTGATGAGCCGCAAAGGCTTGGAGTTGAGAAAAGTCGCGGTTCAAACGATCCAGACCAGGGAAAAAAATTTGGGACGTTGCGGCCTCGCCCCGCAGTTTTCTGCGGACAGCTGCAACCGGCAGATATGATTGGCCAATCTTGCATCAGTGCATCGCTGATAAGAGATAAGACACTTACCAACCAAAGATGCTTGAAAGAAACAAGTTCAAAGAAAACCATCAGAAATCGGCTCGCTAGGTAGCTTTGCTATGGTTTCTGATAATCTTCGGATGCCGTATATCTCTTCTTAATCAATAATGTAGCTGCATATAGACAATTGGCGAGTTAGTATCCAACTCAGGTGCCGCCATGTCAACCTCAGGGTGGACTACATGCTTCATCCATCAGATGATGGTACAAATAGCAAGCAAGCCTTGAGCGCAAGTAAGGATTAGCATCTAGTTAGGACAATCACTTGAGTGACCGAACACAATTCCAAATCAATCAATTGCATCCCAGTACCAGTCCCAATTCCAATCAAGGTGAAGCGTAAAGTCCCGCGTCAACTCCGAGGCATCACCATCTACCAGTCAGTCAAGTTGCTACTCCCTACTTGCTGTATTGTGTTCCATGGAACAGGTCATATCCTCTTCCGCAGTCTAGAACCAAGAATAGAATAGGCCCTCAATTGCCTCTGCGACCACCAGTGCTCATGAGTGTGATTTTCTGTTTCTTCTTCTTCTTTCCACCACCACCGCCGCCGCCACCACCACTATTATTCGGACGTGCATTGTTGTTATCCGTTGCCGACTCGATGGCCTGGATCTGCATCGCAAGATCAGCCGAATCAAACAGGTCCTCGTCTTTGAGCCAGCCGTCGTCAGCATTCGAACTCCGAACTGGCGCCATCTCAGGAGATCCATTGATCACCCGTGTGCCCCAGACTGTTCTCTGAGTCGATGGGCTGGTTGACATTTCCGCCAACGTCTCGAATCCTGGTCGAGGATCCGGGGGTGTGGCACCAGAATGACCGCTCAGTGGCTGGAACTCGGACATGTCCATCCGAGGGACATCCTCCTCCTCAAGTGGCTGGGGTAGTCTCTGGTACCCCGTCGTCTTGCGTAGGGCAGCTGCTTCGAGTCGCTCTGCTTGGAGGCGCTCCCGTTCCTCTTGCGTTTCTTTCTCGCGGTTCCGTTTCCGTCGCCGCTCGATTTCTCCCGAGAAAGACGCCAACGTCTCTGCTGGCACAATGTCTGTCCAGTCACATTCCAGGAAGCTGATGACACACCCGCGAGGAAGATGCCCGAGGTACTTAGCTCTCCTACGCAGTGCGTCGTCGACCACATGGCCGGTTGAGATGTGCTCGACGCGAGGGAGGAGAGTAGAGGGGAATGACGAGAAGGAGCCATACTTGGTTTTCAGGATGCGAATGTCCAGTGGTGAGAGGTAGAGATGAGGTGGGGAGCTGTAGAAGTAAAAGTCGGGATCTGCTGATTGCTTCCCGGAACTTGACCCTGGCCCGGCCGTTGGCTCCTCTGCGAGTTGAAGATCTGCCAGTTTCTCTTTAGAGGCTGTGACAGCTCGGATGGCCTTCTGAGACCATTCACCATCTTGACCAAACAGAGTCTCATCCTCCTTCGCCTGCTTCTCTAGCGAAGCGATTTCCTCGTCGAATTGAGCGCCCATATAATCCGTGGTGCCCTTCATCATGCGGGCGTAGTCCAGAACGTTGGCAGCGAAATGCCAGGGAATGTCGTCCCCGAAAGTGCGTGCCTCCGCGGCACCCTCCCGCGGGAGAGCCATCGTTGAGTGTGCACCCCGTGCCATTAATCGTAGCACGACGTCGTCACCAACTCTAGGTAGCGGGCTTTCCTGACCTGCATAAAACCGGACAGGTCGAACGTCTTGCATGTAAATCGAGTCCTCGCAGATGGGGCACTTCTTCCATTTTGGACCACGGTTTGCCTTTCCTTCCTCCTCACTGGAGCTTGAGTTCATAAACCGAATCAGACAAGGTAAACAAAAGATGTGCCCGCATTTCGCCATACGAGGAGCCACTGGCTCCGAAAGACAAATCGGGCATGATGAAGTCTGCGACTCGCTCGAAGCAATAATCTGCATCACCAAAGACCAGTCCAGGTGCGTGTCAGCATCCGACGACTGCTTGCTATAGGTTCCTTCTGGAGACAGGACAAAGCGGTAGTTGGCATGGACATATCTCGCCTTATCAACTGCGTGGTATCCAGATCCCAGCCCCCATGTTGGATTCCGTCTAGGATGTCTGGCATGCGTATGATGGTCTTGTACCGGTCGAGGCATCGAGTAATTGAGGAGATGGGTGATCGAAGTCTGGCCACGCCGACTGTTTGGGTTTCTGAACGCTCTTAATTCCGCCATCGCATCTTCGTCGTCAGGGCCGGTATTGGACCTATCTCCTAGGCCGGGTCGACGTTGACTCCGGTGCTGTTTTCGAGCGCCTTGAGCTTTCCGAGGCATGGATTGCGCTGACGAGGAGCCGGCCTGCGATGGCCGACGTGATGATTCAAAGCTCGACGTCGATGGTCCGGCCTGGATGGCTGGGGGGTTTGATGGCGCAGGGGCGGATTTTCCCACACTCGAGGTCGACGAACTCATGTTCGGTACGGTCGGTTCGAAGGTGTTTCAACCTTGGATCCGATGAGGCAGGCAGCCGCTTCAATGGGTTGGTTTCTTTGGCTGTGTCCCTTGTGGCGGGCTGACACCGGCTCGAGATCTCTTGCCTCTCGCCAGGGGAGAGTCAACGCTCAAGGTCCCAAGGAGAGAGAGGCAAAGAGTGGCAGTTCTGGTAGGTCTTGGCAAGGTAGATAGGATTGTTGAAACAGTAGTTGGAGGAAAGTAGGTTCACGAAGGGGTCCAGCTGGGACGGACCCCGTGGATGAATGGAGGTGGATCGAGCGAGTCACTCACTGGCGGGGCAAATCGTGACGGAGTTGGCGGGCTCGGCGGCGCAGGGGAATGGCGTTACCTGCCTGCAACATGAACGTTAGTCATCAACGGATGCCACTTGAGGCTATCACATGACCAGAGGCGTGACTTCTGGATATCCTCAACGACAGCACCAAAGCTATTCTCACGGTGGACTGATACAGACGGACTCATTGTCAAGTTGTATCCAACCTTCAAGCATCACTTCTTTTGACATGATGGATACTATGATACATGAATTCCGGTATCAATCAAAAGCATACGCGTAAAAACTGACTATCAACTAGGTATATGACGGAGATCCAGGCCCTCAGTGATCTCAACCACTCTCCTCTTCCTCATGGATCCAGGGGAATCATTGATAAACGAAGACACCAATCCCAAGAAAACGAAAGAAAAAGAAAACCCATAAGACGTTTCTGACACCACACTGTCATGACATTAGCTCATCTCACTCCACCCTCGCCTTGTCTTGTCTACTTGTGGTCGGACAGCTTGTGCTTGATCTTGCTGAAGATCGAGCTCAGTCGGTTGTGCTTCTTCTTTTGGGCAGTGGTCGAAGAGCTACCGTTAGCGGCGGGCTCAGCAGCCTTGGTCTCGGTGGCCTTGCTGCCGTTCTCAGCGGCTGAGGTACCGTTGCCGACAGCGGGAGTCTCCGCCTGGGGCTCAGGCTTAGCCTCAGCCTTGACCTCTTCAGGTTTCGTTACAGGCTCAACGGCGGGCTTGGCCTCCTCAGTCTTGGTCTCTTCCACCTTGGTCTCGGATTTGGCCTCCTCGGGCTGAACCACAGGGGCAACAACAGCAGCGGGCTCGGCAGCGGGCTTGGCCTCTTCCGCCTTGGTCTCCTCCACGGCAGGGACAGGCTCGGTCTCCTTCAGGAGTTCGGCCTCAACCTCCTTCTTGTTCTCGACGGCCTCGGTGCTGGCGGCAGCCTCAGGGGCCTTGCCGGCCTCAACGATAGACTCCTTAACCTCAGCGGGCACCTCAGGGGCAACAGCCTCAGTCTTGGTCTCCTCAACAGGGGCAACGGGGGCGACCTCCTTCAGGAGCTCGGCCTCGACAACCTTCTTCTCCTCGACGGCTTCGGTGTTGGCAGCAGCCTCGGGGCTCTTGCCGGCCTCGGTGATGGACTCCTTGACCTCAGTGGGGACCTCGGGGGAAACCTGCTTCGTCTCCTCGCTGGCAGGCTCCACCACGGCGTCATAAGTACCAGTGACAGGCTTGATCTCCTTGAGAAGCTCAGCCTCAACCTCCTTCTTCTCCTGAACGGCCTCAGTGTTGGCAGCGGCCTCGGGAGCCTTGCCAGCCTCAACGAGAGACTCCTTGACCTCGGCAGGGACCTCGGGAGACACCTCTTCTCGGATCTGCTCCTTGGTCTTGGCGTCCAGAGCCTCCTGGGCGGCTACGGGAAGCTTCTCCTTGACAGCATCAGGGAGGTTCTTGGCGGCGGCATCGGTGATGACCTCGGTCGCGTTGGTCACTACAGGAGCAGCCTTCTCCTCAATGGTCTCCTTGGCGGTGAGGCCGGCAGCAATGACGGCACCACCAGCAGTGGCAGCGAGAGCAGCCAGTCCAGCGTCCTGGGCCTTCTCGGACTTCTCGGTAGCCTGGCCAGCGGTGCCCTCAGAGGTAGCAGGGGCCTCAGGAACCTTCTCCTTCAACTCCTCCTCAACCTTGGCCTTCTCCTCGACGCCCTCGGCCACGGCGCTGGCTTCAGGGGCCGCGTCGGCCTTCTCTTGGCTCTCCTTGACAACCTCGGGGACAGCAGGCTTGGGCTCAAGGGGAACCTCGGCGGCGAGTGCCGCGGTGGTAGAAACAGGGGTCACAGTGTTGATGGCGACATCCTGAGCACCGATAATGGGGAGGCTGGACTCGGGGATGGTGTTGGCAGAAACGGGAGGGAGCTCAGTCTCAACACCAGGGATAGTGTCGCTCTTCTCGTACGACTCCTTGTCGAGCTTGACGTACTTGTCGGTGCTCTGGGCGGTGATAGACTCGGGGATCTTCTCGCCAGGCGCCAGGGTAATGGGGTTGCCAGCACCCTCAGAAGCGGGGAGAGGGTTGACGCTGATGGGCTTCTCCAGCTCGTTCGCAAGAGGCGCGATAGACACAGGCTTATCCAGCTCAGTCGCGGGTGTGGCGGGAAATCCGCCTGGAATGTCAGAAGGGGTCTCGAGGGGGTGCGCCTTCTCGTTCTCGGTGAGGGTCTCCTCGTCAGCGAGCGCAGGAACAGGCTTGCTCTCGGCCACCTTCTCGTCAAGCACCTTCTCAACGGGCTTTACCTCGATAGGTTGCTCGGAAGCCATCGCAGCAGTGGTAGATGTGGGGGTGACGGTGTTAAGAATGGCGGCGGCGGGGGTATCTTTTGTGATTTGGTCGGGGTTGAGGAAGTTGTTCACGTTGCCCTGAGTGTCAGGCTCGTTTGCTGCTGATTGGTTGATTACCCAGTTGCCGTCGACAACGAACTAGATGATGCGTGAGCGACAGCCTCTACAGTGAATGCGCAAAGGGTGAGGGTGAGGAGGAAGAGCAATTGGGTTCAGAAGAGGGGAGGAGGGGGGGTTTCAATCATCTGGTACGATGACGAAAAGGTCAATGGCGGGAGAGCTGAGGAAGGCGGGCAGGCAGGGTAGGTGCGGGTCTGAATGCAGGCACACTAGCGCGCAGCGCAAGCAAGCGCTGACTTGAAAGACGCCTTGGCGGCCAGGACAGCGCGAATCGACTTTGTCCCACGTCGCCGCCTGGCGCCAACATCTAGGGAGACTGGCATGACCTGCAAATGACCTGCAAAAAGGACCTGGGCCATGGGCTGAGGACGAGCAGGTTCTCACCGCTCCCCGCTCACTAACGCATTCCAGAACTGTCTCGAGCGTAGTTGGGTTGCGTCATACCGAACCGCGGGGGGTTGGTTGGGGATGGTGTGGGCGCGCGGTATGGGTCGTAGAGAACCCATGACATGACAGGCAGGGAAAAGGTCAGGCCTGGCGCAATCCCAATCCCCGATCCTAGCAGCGACCGCAAAAATTGACGAGCAGGGGTGGTTGGGATTACGGTAGCGTAGCGTAGCAGACGAGCCCAGACACCGCTCTTGTGCCTAAGAGCCTTTTAGGCTCATCATGACCCTGCAGATTGAGAGATGGCGATGCGCGGAGGGCACGGATTCCATAGCGGCACGGACACACGGTCGCAATCCGCCAGACCCAGACCCAGGCCAGTACCAGTACGAACAAGAGGCGGCGGCGGCGGCGCAACTGCTCGGTGGGGGGGATGGCGCTTTACCATGATCCATCTCTGCAGGGTTTGGTACGATGGTAGGATGGGCACGAGAAGCTTCTCCACGGTGACGAGAAAGGGGGGATGGATAATTGATGGTTCAATCCGGGATCGCGTGCATGGGGGAAACACCGAGTAGAGGGAGCTGGTGGTATCGCCGATCGAGGCACCAGTCGCTGACGCACCTTGTAGTAGATCTTGCTCGAGGCATCCTTGAGGTCGACCGTCTTGGAGAAGACATCGCCCGTCTTTTCGAGCTTGACGCTCTTGGTCCAGTCGTCGAAGGTACCGGTCACGTAGACTTCGTCGGCGGGATGCTCCCTATGAGAAAGCTCGGGGTTAGTCCAGATGTCTCAGACATTGTCCTAGTTCCAGAGTGCGACATGGAGCAACAATGGTGAAGGGGGTAAAGCTCCAGACAAAGCTCAACGAAAAGTGCTGCGCCGTAGGCACGCGACGTGTGCAGCTTCAAGGGTGAAGCCCAAGGGTGAAGCTTGCTTGAAGCTGTCGTCGCGATCGTCGCCGTCATCAAAAGGCAGATTGTTACATACCACTTGAAGGTGAAGCTGCCCATGGCTGCGATTCGTAGATATCAGATGCGGCGTTTGAGTCTGCGCAGTCGGAACGGGGAGCGAAGGAGTGAGGCAGCGAAGCCGGCGGCGTAGGTAGCGTAGATAGGGACGTAGGTTTGTAGGTAATGACGGATGGATGTTTTGATGTGGTTGTGGGAGAGAGTAGAATAGGATGGAAATGGTTGGGAGGAGAACCACGGGCGGTAGGTAGGCACCAGGACGGGTCTGGTCTGGCGTCGGTCAGGCTGGGGGGACCGAAATTAAAGATTGTCGGCGGTAACGGGGGGGAGCTTCAGTAAGAAAGAAAAAATAAAAGTACACCACCGCAACCGCCACCCGTACCGACGCAGGGATATTATTAAGCGATTCGGAAGAGCTGGTTTTGCCGAATCCAGTAGAAATGGCGAAATGGGCGAGGCGATAGGTACGAGCGAGAAAAAAGGAGAGGGCTTTGTAGGTACGACGTTGATACGGTACGGTGCGGTGAGGGAGCAAAGTAGGTGAGGATGTAGAGATAAGAGGGCCTGTGGGCGGAAGCAGTGTGCGAAAGCGGAAGTTGATGATGAAAGACAGAAACACGTGGGGGCAAGTTTTGGATTTCAGTCCATAATGTTATGTACGAGGGCGGCAAGTATCAGGAATTAACGAAAAATTGGTGGTACTGTAGGAGAAGGAGGAAGAGGTCAAACCCTGGAAAGCTTCGAGGTTTCCTCCTTGGAGCTTTGAACAGAGCTTGTACAGAGCTCGGTGAATCACAATAGCAGTGACGACACATCGACGATGATGATGATACCCTGAACCGTCCTGTTGCAGGTTGCGCAACCATCCATCCAAAGATGCAGTACTAATGGTGAATGTATGGATGCCAACATACGGGCCTGCTTGGGCACCTTCTTCCTTGCCTGATGCCCTCATTGCAACCATCATTGTAGTCATGCTGGGCCTCCATAGGCAAGTCGACAAGCGCCGAGAGCTGGGAAGACCCATGAACAACAAAGCAAGCGCCGCACACTGCTGCAAAAACGCATTCTTGCAGGGTGGGCACGCAGCTGCGGTTCCTCTTCGACTGCCCATAAGTGGAGACGCGACACCTTGTCTCTGACGACATGGGCAATTTCATGGCGTCGTTCGGTTGAGTGAGACCTTTCTCCTCTACCGCATCCGGGGCTTGCAGGCCGCCATCCCCAATCCTTTCGTGGCATGGATGATGGTTTAGTGAGAGTGGCTGGTAATTGGTAGCAGTCTGTTTCGACTCAACTACGAGGCTGTCGTTCAAGTGTAGATATCCAAACCTACAGTACCTGGCTAGCTACGGATAGTCGGAGCATCACACTGCTAGCTCCATCTTGTCCGAGCTACACCTACCTTTCCTTACCTGAGGTAGGAAATAGATGGACGCGATGCTGGGGTAGCTTGGTAGGGTAGCATCGCACGAGTACCTGGGCTAGACCTCGCCATGGCTGGCTGGTCCTGGGGAAGCCCGGAGCTCCATAGGTACGGATAAGAACCGGACCTTTTTTGTCTCTGAGGTGGTCGGTGAAATGGTGACCGACACGCATCTCGTCAACGGTCTCGGCAAGCCAAATTTGCTTTGTTGTTTCCCGCATCATCTCGTCTGAATCATATGGATCACCTGCATCCTCGTGACAGCCCCAATATTGCATCAAGTTGCTTTGCTTGTGCATGCCTTTGCTTTTGTCCTGCCCGTCATGACACCACGCGGTCATGTCCGTGTTAGCCAGTGACCGACGTTTTCCTGTCAAAATGTTTTGCATCGTTTCATAGAATTAGGGCTCACTTTCCTGCCGCACATGTTGAAACCCAGCCCGTCGATCAAGCAAGCCGGCGAGGATCCGGAGCCAGGGTCAGGAACTGAAGTGTCTGTCTGGTGGGGAGGCGGTGTGCGCGTATATGCAGAAATCACCGGAATCATTCGACACTGCAGCTAAAAAAGATTCGAGTTGGAATTATGTACGTATGAAACAGGCGGTCTCAGGAACGTGTTGGGTCAAAAGATATCGTGTACATGATATGTTTTTCTGAAGGAGCGGTAGAGAGATATACGAATACGCCTTGGAGTTTGAGCGGTCACAGATGTGTGTGCGTGCGTGTGCGTGTATGTGCGAATGTTGAGCATCTGCCAACGTAGAAATCATGACATTCGTTCATCCAATGTCAGTGCAGACACGAAACTGGCCCTTGCTCCCGCTCTTGCTTTTTCTTGCACACCTTGTAAGTGCATGTTATAACCAGCCCCAGGGTAGTAACTTGGGACCCTTCGTGCATGGTTCCTGGAAATGGATCCATTCGCGGATGACTGGATGATCCAAAAGAGGGCACTTGTTGACTATATCTGCCGGGGTTTAGATCGATACAGGGAGCTTGAAAATGATAATTGATTTCATGTTACACTTCTACTGTTGGAAAGTCTATTGCTGGCAACTCTTGAGGTGACCCGGCCTGGCCCAATCTCATCACAGCTCCTCCTTTGCCGATGCTTTGACGTTGTTGGCCTTGAGTACCTGGGCCTTAATATCAAACTTCATGCTATGATCTTCAGGCTGGGAGTGCTCGATCCAGGCGACAACTCCGCCGTCCACGGGTGTGGTATCGTATTTGGTCAGATCGACAAGTTGGTCTAGATGACATCGTGTAAGTTACTGTCACAGCAAAACCAGACATCCCTATCACACTGGAAACTTTGATGACTTACCCTTGCACTTGCTTGCCTCAGCTGCCCAGAGAGGAAGGACTCCGTAAAGAGCACCTGGCGCAAAGATGGCAACCTTTTGTTCGTCGGTGGAGCGGTCGATCTTGCCGGCGGCTGGGAACTTGACAACATGTTCCAACTCATCTTCCTCCGTCTTGGGCTTTTCAAGGATAGCGAAGAGCGCCTTTCCCTTGCCATCGGAGCGTTCTTGTTCTTCGACCCATTCACGAACAGTGAGAGGCAGTTTGTCATAGTCCATCAACAGAAGGCTACGGCCGTGGAGGTGATAATCCAGACCAGACCATCCACCAGGGTATTCCTTTCCCTCAAACACTTCCTTCAAGCCCTTCGCCCAAGGCTTAAGCCCATTAGGTGGAGGGTCCGTCAATTCGTGAAGGGTGTACTCGAGCGCGCTGAAGCTGGTCTCGACCTCGCAGGCAGGTTGGAATGCAGACATGGCCTCCAGAGCGAAGGGGTTCTTCCAGTCGAAACCTTGGACCAAGTCGACAGGTGGCGGCTGGCGCATCTGGAAGGCTTGCGTAGCCCCGGCCAGCAAGACGGAAGCTAGAGATCCGGTGATTCTGGAGCCCTTCATGGTTGTGGTGTTTTGGCGATGTTGCTAGTGAAGCTCTTGGTGACAATTGTTAAGCAATAGATCTCGATAATTAAGGAACATGAATCTCACGACTTTACTGAAATCATCATGACTTATAAACTTGAGGATCTTATGATGCGAGGTCAATTGCATCGTTGTCCTCTTCGGAGTCTTGGGCCCGAGTTTCCCTTTCAGGGTATTCATATCGGCTCATGTTTCTCAGGCGGGGGCAATTCCGAATATTATCACCTCCGGCTAAAGTGATGAGTGAAGGTATTGGCTGCAAAATAGTCATCATGTGAATAGGAAGTTTTAATTGCATTGATCCCAAGATCGAATCTGGCATATCGACAGATCTCATCTTGGTCGCCATGAGTTGAGGTTTGACCCGTGCTGCTCGGCTACTTACACTCAATCTTACCGTCGGGTCTTCAAGAGAATTAAAGCCCGCACAATGAACCGGCAAGTGAGTCACCGGCCTTGCTTATGTCTTATAATAATAAGGACGCGTAGTTCAGATGGCCAACTCCACAGCAGCCATTGGAGGGTTCGTATCGCAACACCATGTAACACCACAAAGGGTAACTGCGCGTTATTGCCTTGCGTAACACTAGAGATGAACCATGTAGTGCAAGGCTATGCTTTTCGAGCTGAAACAAGTTTAATGGAAAGATGTTTGGGGCCAAAAAGGCCTCCCAATCTCTAAACTCTGCTGCGCCTGATCGCCTCAGCCATCTTGATGCCGAGTTAACCGGAGGATTCTAATAGTCTGAGCCCCTGAACCAACCCACGTTCTACATTGCACAGCTCCACTACCAAAAGTCTGAAATGGTGGTAGGTTTGAGAGATGGCATGTATGTAATTCCTCGAGTACAAAGATTTGAATATGCCATGTGTATGTTTATTGTCGCCAAGTCTGAGTAGCGGCGATCTCGCATCAGAACCACAATGCCCAGTCGGTCCTTCCCGAGCCGCCACACAAGTCTCTAGGTCTCAGCCCAAGCTTTCGTAATACCAGTGTCTGGATGGAACACCATCCTTGGGCTGTCAGCTCGTTCTAGACTTCAACTAGCGTCCATCCCAACGCCAACTTCGCCCAGTAGGGCTACGCGGACTCTCCACAATGCTGCGCCCCGTGCCATCCTCCCCCAGCTTCGAAATCACCTTGCGAGCCGGATCCGGAACTAGGTGTGAGGGTTATGTTTGGTATGCTCGTCGAGTTGTTATTAAACTCCATGGCTCGCCATGGGTTGCTGATCACAGCCAAAGCAGCTTGGCGAGCAGATCACTTAGACGGGCACCATGGCGACGAAACCAGCAGATGTTGAAACACCCGAGAAGAAGGGTCTGGCGGCAAAGGCTAACACTAAGAAGTCCTGGCCGTTGTGGAAAAAGTTGACCCTCATCGGCGCGGCTCTTGTCATCATTACGGCGTTGGCGGTTGGACTCGGTGTTGGCTTAACACGAGGGAAAGGAAGCGACGACAGCGACAACAGCAACTCGGATTCAGACACCAGCGACGATCACGACTCTGCCCTTAAAGCTCGCGGTAAAACATGGCAGCCCAAGGTCGGTTCCCCATGGCAGATCGTCCTCCTAAAGCCCATCAAGCTCAACGACGACGGCACCGCCGACGACCTTGAGCCTAACGTGGGCATCTACGACCTTGACCTCTACGACAACGATGCAGAAACCTT